ACTAGATGTAACAAAATCTATTGTTACCTTGCAGAATTAATATCACCATGGTTACTGAAGGAGTCTATAGAGGTACTAAGTCACCCACTAACTGAGGTTTTTAATAAACACTTGAAACAGGAATTCTTCCAGAATTATGGAAAAGGCAAATGCAGTCCCAATATTTAAGAAAGGGGGCAGATAGCAGGCACTAAATTACAGACCAGTGTCACTGACAAGTATTCCTTGCAAAGTGCTAGAGAGAGTAATGATGTCGAGAATAGTGGAGCTTCCAGAGAGGATAAACTTTGTAATAGAATGGCAGCATGGATGTAGAAAGGGAAAGTCATACCTGACAAACTTGATTGCCTTCTACGAAGAGGTTACTAGAATATGACAGAAAAATGAAGGCTGGGTAGATCAATTCAAATCAAATGTTTATTCAGGTAAAAGTACATACATACAAGATAAGTTACAAACAATGTTGGATTCCTACATTGCATTTTCCTAGACTGTCAAAAGGCATTTAATACTGTTCCTCATGAACGGCTCGTGTACAAGAGGGAGAAGCAAGCTGGGATAATTGGGAAAACACTAAACTGGGTAAGGAAATACCCGAAGGACAGAAGACAAAGTCACAGTGAGAGGCGAGGCCTCCAGCTGGAGGAATGTAACAGGTGGGGTCCCCCAAACATCGGTCCTGGGACCATTACTGTTCCTAATTTAGGTTAGAAATCTACCCGAGGAAGTGAGCTCGTACAGGTCAGTGTTTGCAGACGATGTCAAAATAATGAGAAATGTAAAAACAGATGAGGACTGCAGAATGTTACAGAACCTTAAACTCCAGGAGTGGACAAATGGTTGCTGGAGTCCAATCCTAATAAGTGTAATGTAATGAAGATGAAAAGGGGAGAAAGAAGACCAGAAGGTGTCTACACCATTAATGGAAGACAATTCCCGGAATGTGAGTGAAAGATATTTGGGAGTGGATAAAATTCCATCACTAACACCAGAAGCACACACAGGCAGGGTGACATCAGCAGCATATGAGACGCTGGCAAACATTAACACGTCGTTTAGGAACTTAAATCAGGGCGCGTTCAAAGCAATCTATACAGCTTTTGTAAGACCACCACTCGAATATGCAGCACCTGCTTGGCATCCCTACCTTGTGAAACATAAAACTAAACTCGAAAAGTGCAGAGGTTTGCTGCTAGATTATTGCCAGAGCTTAGAGGGTTAAGTTATGAGGATAGGCTGAAGGAACTGGTTCTCACAATCTTGGAGGACGGAAGAAATAGAGAAGACATGATAACAACGTACAAGATACTGAGGGGAATAGACACGGCGGACAAGGACAGCCTCTAAGTTAACAGAAAGTAGAACAAGAGGACACAAGTAGAAGCAAGAGTCACAAACGAGTCGAAGAAACGTAAGGAAATACTCGACCCTGTACGGGAGGTCAACAAGTGGAATGTACCAAGAGTTGTGGAAGTCGCCTCCATTCACAACTTCAGGAAAAGGTTCGACAAAGGTATTGATTGTTAGTAAAGTGAAGCTTTAACACAACAGGTACAGCATCCTATAACAAGGCTGGTAGGCGGGGCAAGAAGAGCACTTCCCGCAGTCACCGATAGGTAGTGACCTCCGTGAAGTCCCTACGTCGTAGTGTCACAGTAGTTAACAAATGGAATGCATTAGGCAGTGATGTGGTGGAGGCTGACTCCATATACAATTTCAAATGTATATATGATAGAGCCCAGTAGGCTCAGGAACCTGTACACCAGTTAATTAACAGTTGAGAGGCGGGACCAAAGAGGCGAAGCTCAACCCCCTACAAGTACAATTAGGTGAGCAGTGATAGGTAAGGACCAACAAGAGAGAGGTAGGGAACAGCTCGTTGCTCTAGGTAATTGCTCAGCTACCGGGCACCTTGGAATACTTAACTACACGGTATTTCCAGCCGGTATTTTCCCCTAGGAACTCTCGGAACTCCCCTCCCCACGGTCAGTGGCCAGGCTGGGACTACAGTCATCCTGGGGGGCTGTTGGTGTTCACTGTGTCCAAGACTGAGGGCGGTGGAAGCGAAGTAACTTTAGGTCAGCTTTCACTTGTTTGGACGTGACGCTGATGAGTGGATTGGGTGGTTGGTATGAGTTATATCCTCCCTCGCGTGGTGAGGAGGCGAGTGATGAGTCACTCTGCCTCATGTAGCGCATAGTGAGGAAGTAGATGTTGAGTTGTCCTGCCTCATGTAGCGTGTGTTGAGGAGATGAGTCACCCTGCCTCATGCTACCCTGCATCCCTGTCACAGGACCCCCGCCGAAGGTGAGTGGGTCCGCTGGTGAGGGAGCCGGGGCCGCTCTACACATCTGGTGTGGTCCGGAACACTCTTGTTAGTGCTGGTTCGCTCTCGCTTCTCTCCTTGACCTCTGCGGTGCCTCGTCAGCGCCTCCTGCAGGTGCCCTCAGGTCCTGCAGGTCTGCAGCATAGACTAGTCTACACTCAGGCCTTGAGGAGGCGGTAGAAGCATCAATACAATCTCACTTTTCGTCTCTGAGTACATAGTACATTAAAATTATACCCCCCAAAAATCATCTCTGGTCATCTCATCAGTATCATCATATATCATCTCGGATCATCTCAGCAGAGCATCATTACCACAGCCTCTCCCTCACCGCACTAACCGGTATAAGACATAACCTCACGTATCAGTGGTCGCGTCTACAGCAGCGACGGGTCGCAGAGTATCGCATCGTTTACACACAACAATGAATCTAGCCAAAAACCTCGCGCGAATATATGAAACAGTAATTTAGTTCAGGTGTCCCCAGAGGTCATAGAAGGCGCCCGCCTGCCTCACTCACCTCACACGTCCTCACACCTTTTGTGTTTATTTTGTAACACGTGGGCAAGATTAGAGGCTTTCCTTGCCATAACTCCTGTTAGGTCTTGCATAACTAGTTTTCCTCTGAAATAGGACTCGTCAGTGGGTTGAGAACTAGGTCCCCAGTAAATGCTGGGGACAGTGGGCATCTCCCACTGTTCATCCAGTGGGCACGGTGGATTAAGGATCGGTGCCTAGGCGATTCCACCCCCCCCCCTCACCCAACCACTTGGGGTGGACGGTAGAGCGACGGTCTCGCTTCATGCAGATCGGCGTTCAATCCCCGACCGTCCAAGTGGTTGGGTACTATTCCTTTCCCCCGCCCCATCCCAAATCCTTATCCTGACCCTTTCCAATTGCTATATAGTCGTAATGGCTTGGCGCTTTCCCCTGATAATTCCTCCTTCCTCCTCCCCCCCCCTCCCCGTCTCCAGCCCAGGGGGATGGAAACTTCATTTCTTTTCTTTATTATGCACCCCATGCCCATGGAAACTGACGGTGGAATAAGCTGTCTCGCCGTCCCACACGGCCTCTCACTGTGTACCATCAGAGTAGCGTCACCTTGACCGCTCTACCTGATGACTCGCAGTCGAATGGTCCCGGAAAGGACGAGACGTTTAGGCAAGTTCTCTTACATCCGTTACCTATGTTTACCTTGCGGTAAATAGGTAACTGTGCGTTAGGTGACTGTTGTGAATGGCATTCTAGGGTATAATCACTCAATGTTTCTGCTCTCCTATCTGTAAACAGGTAAATTGGAGTTATAGGCAACTGTTCTCTCGCATCCTGCTGAAGGCCTGATGACCAAGGAAGATCTTCCGATGCCCGTGTTCACCTGGCAGTAATAAGACTCCTGCCACTCTTGTGGGCTCGAGGTCAGCCGGTGGCCTAGTGGGTGCTCGATATGCTTATAAAAGGTTTCCTGTCTCCGACGGAAGCACACGTGCCCAGCCTTGTATGACAGCGTGTGTTCACTGGAGGAAGTTCAGCCCCGGCTGCCTCAGGGTACAAGTTAGAGGATGAACAAACCAGTTAGTGTTCATCATCTTGGCAGACGTTGTACTCGTGCCTTAATAAACTCGCCCGGTTTTGGCCTCACAGCACAATGCTACGAAAAGTTTAGGTTTATGTAAGCTTTATGTGGGTATAATCCATCTTGTTTCGTACTGACGCTTCCACCGCCTGTCTCTTTGCTGTATTGGTAATTGAATTACTTTGCCAGTTAATGAAGGAATAAGGGAATTTATACATATTTCTCAACATGAGAATGTTTGTACGTTTGTCTGTGTGTCCGAAGTTGGAGGCCAGACTCAATTTTTCTGGATTACACATTGAGGGTTGGGAACTGCCATAGACAGGTCGTGGTTGGCCCCATTGCCCTTTCATAAGAAGACTCGGTTCCTATTGCAATTCCCAGCGATTCTTTTGAAGCCTTTAATGGTGGTTTGGTTTTCCAGAGTTTTCGACAGTTTTCAGCAGTTTGTTTAGATCTGAAACCTATGAGAATGGCCAACATAATACCCTCAACACATAGTGCAACACAATGGTTGCCGGGACCAGGCTGGACTACCGATACCTGGGGCTACAGGTGACGAACCTCCCTATCCTGAGCACTCCACGTGTATATTCTGCCAGCAGAAACCAGGGTTATGACCTCATCGCAGTACTGAATGTCAAGTCATTAGACCTCTCAGACCTGTGTGTACGAGGTACCTGGAGCCATGAAATTACTTGATTCACTCTCGTGTTCTAGAGGATATCCTCATAATGCTTACGAAGTCTGCCAGTGATTAGTCTACTGGTTACCTGCCTCTGAATGACTAACCATGTTACGAGATGGGCTCTGTTTTTAGCATGGAGAGAGAGAGAGGGGGGGGGGGAGGACAGACACAGACAGACAGACAGACAGACATAGACAGACAGAGGGAGAGAGAAATAGAGACAGAGACAGATATATATAGAGATATATAGACACACAGATAGCGAAAGTGACAGCAAGAAAAAGAGAGGAGAAGGGATCAAGAAATGCGACGACACAAATAACCCACGAGGAGAGAGAGCTTAGATATTAACTTTACCTTCACAACCACTACACAGTCAACCCGGTCACTGGACGCCAAGTCCAAGAGCTTACCGTTGGCGGGCACATGGCCTGACACGCGGGAGGTGGGAGTGGTGATGCTGCTGGTGTTACTGCTGGACCACCAACACCGTCCAGGCTCGTGCAACACACACACCAACCAGACTGGAGCCACACACAGACACCGTCCAGGCTGGAGCCACACACACACCGACCAAGCTGGAGCCACACACAGACACCGTCCAGGCTGGAGCCACACACACACAAACTGTGAGACTTGTGGGGCTGCGCGGAACGTTTATAGCAGCTCTGGGCCGCCCGCCCGCCAATGATGCCGGCCACCATCTTCCCGGTCCCCCGGGAAAATCCTGTCCACTATGACGCATCCGCCGCGAAAAAAAAGTGCTAACTCTGCTACCACTCACATTTTAGCTAATAAGAAAACAGTGCCCCATTGTGATCCAATCCAGGCTCTATAGAGTCCTTCAGGTATGGATAGCTTTATACCCGTAAAGAGGCAGTGTGATACTAACATCGTCGTCCCAAGCCTCGGGGACGACAATTACTGACACCTCTTCCTACCGCTTCACTACTTCCTAAGACTAAGAGGGATGAGTCTCAGCACATCCCAAAGGCACAGAGAGGGAGGACACGTGAGCACATCCCACAGCCACAGAGAGGGAGGACACGTGAGCACATCCCACAGCCACAGAGAGGGAGGACACGTGAGCACATCCCACAGCAACAGAGAGGGAGGACACGTGAGCACATCCCACAGCCACAGAGAGGGAGGACACGTGAGCACATCCCACAGCCACAGAGAGGGACGACACGTGAGCACATCCCACAGCCACAGAGAGGGAGGACACGTGAGCACATCCCACAGCCACAGAGAGGGAGGACACGTGAGCACATCCCACAGCCACAGAGAGGGAGGACATGTGAGCACATCCCACAGCCACAGAGAGGGAGGACACGTGAGCACATCCCACAGCCACAGAGAGGAGGAACATCACATCTGGGAGTAGCAGGGATCACCAGGTACTCCTCCAGACTCCAGAGTGTAGCCGCCCAAGACAGGTTCGCAGACACTTAGGTATTCCATACAACACTTTTGGCCACTTATGCGGAGGTATCCATGCATTATGTATGCAGGGGTATCCATGCGTTATGTATGCAAGGGTATCCATGCGTTATGTATGCAGGAGGTATCCATGTGTTATGTATGCGGGGGTATCCATGCATTATGTATGCAGGGGTATCCATGAGTTATGTATGCGAGGGTATCCATGTGTTATGTATGCGGGGGTATCCATGCATTATGTATGCGGGGGTATCCATGTGTTATGTATGCGGGGGTATCCATGTGTTATGTATGCGGGGGTATCCATGAGTTATGTATGCAAGAGTATCCATGCGTTATGTATGCAAGGGTATCCATGCGTTATGTATGCGGGGGTATCCATGCGTTACGTATGCGAGGGTATCCATGCGTTATGTATGCGGGGGTATCCATGTGTTATGTATGCGGGGGTATCCATGTGTTATGTATGCGGGGGTATCCATGTGTTATGTATGCGGGGGTATCCATGAGTTATGTATGCAAGAGTATCCATGCGTTATGTATGCAAGGGTATCCATGCGTTATGTATGCGGGGGTATCCATGCGTTACGTATGCGAGGGTATCCATGCGTTATGTATGCGGGAGTATCCATGTGTTATGTATGCGGGGGTATCCATGCGTTATGTATGCCGGGGTATACGTGCGTTATGTATGCAGGGGTATCCATGTGTTATGTATGCAGGGGTATCCATGTGTTATGTATGCGGGGGTATCCATGCGTTATGTATGCAGGGGTATCCATGTGTTATGTATGCGGGGGTATCCATGTGTTATGTATGCAGAGGGTATCCATGCATTATGTATGCGGGGTTATCCATGTGTTATGTATGCAGGGGTATACGTGCGTTATGTATGCAGGGGTATCCATGTGTTATGTATGCGGGGGTATCCATGTGTTATGTATGCAGGGGGTATCCATGCGTTATGTATGCGGGGTTATCCATGTGTTATGTATGCAGGGGGTATTCATGTGTTATGTATGCGGGGGTATACATGCGTTATGAACACGGGGGTATCCATGCGTTATGTATGCAGGAGGTATACATGTGTTACGTATGCAGGAGATATCCATGTGTTATGTATGCGGGGGTATCCATGCGTTATGTATGCGGGGTTATCCATGTGTTATGTATGCAGGGGTATACGTGCGTTATGTATGCAGGGGTATCCATGTGTTATGTATGCGGGGGTATCCATGTGTTATGTATGCAGGGGGTATCCATGCATTATGTATGCGGGGTTATCCATGTGTTATGTATGCAGGGGGTATTCATGTGTTATGTATGCGGGGGTATACATGCGTTATGAACACGGGGGTATCCATGCGTTATGTATGCAGGAAGTATCCATGTGTTACGTATGCAGGAGATATCCATGTGTTATGTATGCGGGGGTATCCATGCGTTATGTATGCGGGGGTATCCATGTGTTATGTATGCAGGGGGGTATCCATGCGTTATGTATGCCGGGGTATCCATGTGTTATGTATGCAGGGGGTATCCATGTGTTATGTATGCAGGGGGTATCCATGTGTTATGTATGCAGGGGGTATCCATGCGTTATGTATGCGGGGGTATCCATGTGTTATGTATGCAGGAGGTATACATGTGTTATGTATGCAGGAGGTATCCATGTGTTATGTATGCAGGGGGTATCCATGTGTTATGTATGCAGGAGGTATCCATGCGTTATGTATGCAGGAGGTATCCATGTGTTATGTATGCAGGAGATATCCATGTGTTATGTATGCAAGGGGTATTAATGTGTTATGTATGCAGGAGGTATCCATGCGTTATGTATGCGGGGTTATCCATGCGTTATGTATGCGGGGGCATCCATGTGTTATGTATGCGGGGTATGCGGGGGTATCCATGTGTTATGTATGCAGGAGGTATACATGTGTTATGTATGCAGGTATCCATTTGTTATGTATGTGGGGGTATCCATGTGCTATGTATGTCGGAAAATCCGACACCATTTAATATATCATACAGACAGATAATATTTGCTGCTGTATTACCAACAAGTTACCCATAGAAAACGTAACTTGTAGTGGAATTACCGTCTATAGAAAACGGGATATCATCACCACATACTATTATAATTCACCAGCTATTCTGCTGGGAATTATTCTTAAATACATAAGTCTTTGGACTTTACCATCATAAAAACATCTTATATAAATTAACTTAATTATCAATATTAAAGTAGAGTAAATGTGACCCTTCTATCACGTTCTGAAATCTGGACAATGTAAGCCAGGCGTCAGAGTGGAGGAAGGAGGGCAGCCATTGTTGTTTATTGAGACCAGAGGCTCACACGGGAGCAAATTCGGCTCCTGTTAAATTTACTTGGACGTAGTGTTATGGAACCCAAAGGTGTACCATTGTCAACACGCTGTCTACAAATACAAGTTAAGTGTCTATCCGAAACCCGTTTATCATTCATTTATGGCCATTAATGTCAGGATATAGGGTTAGCCGGTTAGAACGCGAAATCGCCTCATACTAAAGGTAATTAAGCCAGGTCTTCATGTTCCATGTACTGTTTTCTCTGATATACTTGTCATATATAGGATTCTGGCTTCACAGCTAGCGCACTTTTGACAGGTCAAGACGAGGAAGGAAGATTTTGTGCACCAGTTACTGGGTGATATGGAAGCTACCTCAAAGAGGATAATTTGGTGTCTACACCCTAGTTATACCTGGTGGACTAACCTGCTGTACTATAAGATAAGGAACCTCTTCAATGTATGTAGTTACTGTAGTTTGATTGGCTGCATACATATAAATATAAACCCCCCTAATGTGTAGAGGATCGATTTGTGAGATTATGAGATTATTGCAGAAATACAGTCCACTTATCATTATACAAATTGCTATCGAAGTATATAAATTAACGTAAATATAAATTCATATAAATTAAACAAATATAAATCTCACAGGTCGGTTCCCACATTATTTGGACCTTCGGAACCGGAATATTCGGTCCTTTGAACCCACATTTGGTCATCTTAGTACCGGATGAACCAGTTATCCAGTGGATTCATTAAATATACTAGTGCAGTGTTATTTAAACAAAGCCAGCAGTCAAGACGGCAGCGTAGCCTCGAGGGAGCTCAGGAGCCTCCCTCAGCCCAGTTCAGCCTTCGTCAGCGGTTTCATGCACACCCACAGATATTTGGTGGCGTGTTATTTCGTGAAATGACAGCGCTAATATAGAATCCAGCCAAATTAGTGACTGTGTCTTCGCGAGATTGTTCACGGATTTCGTGGTGTTACATTTCGCGAGAGATTATCTACGAATTTTGTGGACTTTATTTCGCGAGGTCACTAATAATATTTAATACTTCTAGATAATATTAGAAGTTTCATAGAGGCTAATTAAGAGGCTATTAACAATAATTGTGTATATTATTTCTCCAAAATAGAGAATTATTTAATATATATTGCACTAGTGATCACAGTATAATATTTACTAATTGCCAACCCACAACAGGGTAGGATATTACCATTGACTAGTTGAACTATTATTGTTCATCCTAGTCCCATTATTACTATAGTCAGTTGTACTATATTGAACAACCTAACACCATTAATGAATGGTCCAGACCCTATTTTGGGTGTAATTTTTAACAACTCGAGTTGAGTTGTATATATAATAAATTACTTATGATCATTACACCTTTGAGTGATTAATTAGTGTCTCTACCATCCTAGGGTGATATAGAAGAGCTAACCTAAAGGTACTTCCAGTGACACTGGTTTATCACTCAAATCATTAGTGTGTATGATTGTATATATATATAATGTGTATTAATTTTAAGTGCTAACCTCTAGTAGAGGTAGGATTATTGCCTAGTGAGTGCAGAATTTACCCTAGGCTACCATTAGTGTTTGTTCAGTATTATGAGCAGCCCAAGTACTAGTCCCACAAGGCTTCACCAACTAGCCAGTATGGATAATGCAGGGAGAATGAAAAGAACCCTTGCAGGTCTTAAAGGCCACTTAACAAGACAGATCAAGAAATGTGAAGATTTGTCACAACAACCTCAAGTTGATTACGCTGACCTGGAAAGCTATTATCAAGCAGCTGCAGGTAAATTTGAGCAAATCAAATGTCAAATAGCAACATATGTGGCTGAACTTGCCAACACCAATTTATCAGAAACAGAAATAGACG